ATCATTTTTTAATTATTGGTTTCTATTGTAAATAAGTGAATCTCGTAATTCTTTATTTTGGACATTTGTATTGACAGGTACCTTTGTCACATAGAAATCCTTTGAAGCCAACAGAACACCCTCCTGGACACGTACCGTTGACGTGGTTACATTGTGTATTGTTCATACAATGTCCACAGATTTCATTACAGTTGTGTCCATACATGCCAACATCACACTCTATCAGAATTATATTATATATTTTTATGCTTGATTGGAATAAACATAGGTAATCAGAGATTACAGAGCTCACCTCAACGAATGTTGTCTTTAAGTAAGGCAAAGTCACACAATTAACCAACAAAAAGTATACATTCCAAAAATGAAAATATTTTTAAAAGCAATTTTGATCTGATACTTTGAAATAGACCTACATAAAAAATTTGAACTACTTCTTCTTCATGAAAATGTAATGAAAATCCAGCATCTGAAGCAAATTTGAGAGTTTTCATCTCTTGATGCAGCATTTGTGCAAGTTTGGTTTATACAATGTTATATAAGCCTTATAGTTTTTGGTAATAGACCTGCAACCATAACTTTTACCTTGTCTATTATCTGAAAAATGTATGTCCAATTCAGCATCCGAAGCAAGTCCATTACTGTGCATCTTTAGATGTATCATCCATGCAAGTTTGCTCATTATAGGGCTCATAGTTTATTGGAAATGAAACATGCATCAAAACTAACATTTTCACTCATTCACAAAAAGTAGGTCAGATTCAGCATCCGAAGCAAGCCTGGAAGTATGCATCCTTAGATGTATCATCTATGCAAGACTGGTCATTAAAGAACTCATAGTTCCTTGGAAATGAAACCTGCACCAAAAACTTTTAACTATTCACTGAACCGGAAAATGTACGTCAGATTCAGCATCCGAAGCAAGCCTGGTAGTGTGCATCCTTAGATGTATCATCCATGCAAGTTTGGTCAACATAGGGCTTAAAGTTACTTGCAAATGAAACCTGCACCAAAAACATTAACCTGTTCGCTCAACTGGAAAATATAGGTCAGATTCAGCATCCGAAGCAAGCCCGGTAGTATGCATCCTTAGATGTATCATCCATGCAAGTTTGGTCAACATAGGGCTTATAGTTACTTGGAAATGAAACCTGCACCAAAAACTTTAACCTGTTCACTCAACCGGAAAATGTAGGTCAGATTCAGCATCCAAAGCAAGCCCGGTAGTATGCATCCTTAGATGTATCATCCATGCAAGTTTGGACAACATAGGGCTTATAGTTAATTGGAAATGAAACCTACACCAAAAACATTAACCTGTTCACTCAACTGGAAAATGTAGGTCAGATTCAGCATCCGAAGCAAGCCCGGTAGTATGCACCCTTAGATGTATCATCCATGCAAGTTTGGTCAACATAGGGCTTATAGTTACTTGGAAATGAAACCTGCACCAAAAACTTTAACCTGTTTACTCAACCGGAAAATGTAGGTCAGATTCAGCATCCAAAGCAAGCCTGGTAGCATCCATCCTTAGATGTATCATCCATGCAAGTTTGGTCAACATAGGGCTTATAGTTACTTGGAAATGAAACCTGCACCAAAAACATTAACCTGTTCACTCAACCGGAAAATGTAGGTCAGATTCAGCATCCGAAACAAGCCCGGTAGTATGCATCCTTAGATGTATCATCCATGCAAGTTTGGTCAACATAGGGCTTATAGTTACTTGGAAATGAAACTCACACCAAAAACTGCACCAAAAATGTTAACCTGCTCCAAAAACATTAACCTGGTAATTCCTTTGCTGAAATTGCAGCATCTGAAACTTTGACTGGTACAATGAAACACACTAAAACCATCTTCCATGCATGTCTAATCAGTATAGGACACAGAAGTAATTAAAAAGAAAACTGCTCCAAAAAACTTAACCTTAACCTGGGACGCCGACGCCGACGCCGACACCGACACCGACGCCGACGCCGAGGGTATCACATAAGCTCCCCCCAACTTCGTTGAGGTGAGCTAAAAACCATACAGGATATTATTTCATTGTAAATAATAGGTACTGATACTGGTTTCTGTCATGAAAAAATGATAATTAATTACTAGTTTTGCAGTTTGGTCCTTTGTATCCAGGAGAACATCCATGTAAACATGTACCGTTGATATGATGACACTGTTCATTGTTTAAGCAGTGACCACAGGCCTGAGTGCAGTTTACACCGTACATTTTCCCGTCACACTCTGTAGAAAAGCCATTCTAAAGAGTATACAATGAAAGTGGCTGAATATTAAACAAATAAATATAGACTGATAATAAATTACTAGTTCTGCAGCCCGGTCCTTTGTATCCAGGAGAACACCCGTGTAAACAAGTACCGTTGATATTATGACATTGTTCATTGTTTAAGCAGTGGCCACAGGATTGAGTGCAGTTGAGACTATACATTCCTCCGTCACATTCTGAAAATTGATGGGGGATTTAAAAAAATGTTATCGAAGATCTTGGGGTATAAAGTTGTTTTTACGTTTCCGTCCGACCGTCTGTGTGTTTTTTTTTTCTGTTTTGTTCGCCAAAAAAAAAAAATAATTAAACGCTGCTAAACGTTTTACTTTTCGGTGCTATAATTTTAATTTTCACAAGTAAATTCCTTGTGACAAGACTTTTCTTCGGATACCACAAAATTAGACCCTTTAACCTTGATCTAAGGGTTGAACCCACGTAAAAAAAATTAAACCTTGGCCAGGCATATTTTTTAACATGTTTATCTAGAACTTTCATACTTAACATGTGCATTCATTGTGACACAGCTTTTCAACAGGTATTAATATTTTTGACATTGATCTTAAAATTTGACCCAATGTCTAAAAACTTTAACCTTGACCGTAACTTTTGAACAGTTAGAACTGGTGCTATAGGATTCACAAGTGTATTTTTGTGAAAAAACATTCCTCTAAATAATAAAAAAAAATGACCTTTGACCTTGGAGTTCGACTTAAGTTTAGGCTGGCATATGAAAAACTTCAACCTTCGCCATAAACTGCTATTCAGAAAATGTAAATACTTTTGGTGTTAAATGATTTTATATATATAGTCCCATCTTTTCTTTTTTTTTTTCACTTAATTAATGTAGAAAACGCTCTTTAAGACAGCATTTGAAGTCGCCCCTTCTGTTTTGCACACAGACAGACTTACACATACGGAAAAAAACAAATACAAACGCATTTCTATATCACCTCCAACTCCATTCTGAGGGAATAAAAATAAAATAATTTTATGATTCTTCTTACTAAGGTATTTCCATGTTATTGAAAAAAAAAATGAAAAAAAATTAAATTACTCCGTGAAAACATTTTCCACAAATGGAAAGAAATCACTTACTATAACTGCATTGCAGACCTTGAAAGCCTGATAAACATCCACTTACACAGTCACCATTTACGTCACACTGCTGATTCTGACAATTGACTGGACACGTTTGATTACAATATTCTCCATAATATCCTGGAATATGGCATCCTAATTAACAAATTAATTTCTAATTATCAATAGTTTTGTCCAGCTTATCCACAAAAAAATCATGCCTATTGAAAATAACTCAAGAACTTAGGATATCTATTTAGAAGTAATGTTTCTTGGAATGTGAAATACATATATTTTTGTTATGCCTGCAACCTCTTGTTTGATTCCAATTGCATTTTAATCAGAAAAAAATGCAAAAATGCTCTGTAATTTACCATAGACCTCCAATTCACACAGTTCATTGTATGCGTACTGAGAGTAGTAGTTAGGATAAGTCACATTCGGTCTCCGTTCATTGTAATATATCACATAACGTCCATAGATAGAGCAGTTGATTCGCTGGTCCTCTACAGGTGTACCACTCACATTCTGTATCTCATGGAAACAAAGGTAGCCATCATCTTTAGAAGTCGTGTTTGAAATGTAGAGGAAAAATCCAGCAAACCTGCCATTGTACGCACTTGGACCTGAAATGAAACTGATTAATTTCAAATTTGTATAAAAATATACTTTTTTTTGAAATACAAGGACATAAATTCGAGATGTTCTTTCCGAGTCCGCGAAGATGCGATGTCAATTTACTAATCCTGTTTTTTTTTCTTTAAGAAAACAAGTTAAAATCCACATAAGGTTTTCTGTCACCTCATTGTCATCACTTGTCGCTTTTTGAGTAGAGTCAAGAAAAATCATGGTTTTATCTTTGTTTGAGAGAAGAAGCTGATTAACAGTAGAAGTCTTTGGTTTACTAAGTCATGTATAAATTTGAAAGAAAATGCTAGTAGATAATTTGAAGTTTCTAGTTTAATCCGCTATACACAGCCTTGTATAAATATTATTTTCTACATTTTTCATTACACAACTTCGATTTTATGGCATAAGTTCAGAAAAATTTTTATTCTTGTATCTTGATCCAGTTATTGAATATTAAAACACACCTACGTGGTAGATTATCCGTTCTATAGAAGATTTTGATGTGACTGATGCTGACCACACTCTGTAGATCTACTCTCCACTCTGCTGTAAATTGTTCAATTGCTGATATTGTACACTGGTTGCCCGTAGCTCCGCGATCAGTATAATTCCCATCCACAGCCTTGTCTGCTCCCCATGGCCAAGCTCCCGAATAATTAGCCATCTGCCAGGCAGGTTTCCGTAATGCTAAGTTTCCTATAAAAAGACAGCAATGCACTTATCATTATAAAAACACTTCATAAAGTTATTAATTTTATGCAAAGATATGTAATGAAAAACTACTTTATGCAATTAATTTCACTGTTGCTTTATATATAAACATTAAGATTTTTTAAGATAACTGTGGTGACTTGATCAATTTAATTATTTCTTTCGATTACATGTGTAGCAATATATCGTCATCACCTGTATATTGGGTTGATCTTGTTTATTCGGCAAACAATTTCTAAATCTAGATATGCTATTGACAAAGATGTTGATGAAATAAAAATACGAACAGCTTTGTTTAAAGTTAGCATATCGAAATCCAATGGACAATACAAATACCTGGCTTGAAATATATTAAATTCCATATTGCTTCTTGGGAATATTTTCGACAATTGGAAAAAATATTACTTACTATAACTACATTGCAAACCATTATATCCTGATAAGCATCCTTTTACACATTGCCCTGTCACGGCGTCACACTGCTGTCCCTGACACGTAGCTGGACATGTCTGGTTACAATATTTTCCGTAATATCCAGAAACAGGGCATCCTGTTTAACAAATGGTTATTTTTTATCTCTGTTCATCAATACTTAAATTTTTTCCATATTATATCAAAATGATATTTATTTTTAAGTTCATGATCTATTAAAAAACAAACAAAACACGGGTTATTTATGAAGAACTTTTTAAAATATATCTTTGAATGAGAAATACATATATCTGAAAGACGATCGGACATTTAATCTCTTTGGAAGATTTAAAATTTTGTTTTCGTAAACATTTTTTTTATTGAAAAGGAACATTAAAACATGCAGTAATGTTCTGTAATTTACCATAGACCTCCAATTCACACAGTTCATTGTATGCGTACTGAGAGTAGTAGTTAGGATAAGTTACATTAGGTTTCCGTTCATTATAGTATATCACATAACGTCCATGCACAGAACAGTTGATTCTCTGGTCCTCTATAGGTGTTCCACTAACATTCTGTATCTCATGGAAACAAAGATGGCCATCACCTTTTAGAGTAGTGTTTGAAATGAAGAGGGAAAATCCTGCAAATCTGCCATGGTATCCACTTGGACCTGAAATAAAACCGATCGATTGTAATCGACTTGTTTACAAATTTCATATATTGTTTATGTATGTACAAAAAATAATGCCTACTGGGATAATTATCTGTTCTGTAGAAGATGTTGATGTAACTAATGCCGACAACACTCCCTAGATCCACTCTCCACTCTGCTGTAAATTGTTCAACTGCTGATATCGTACACTGGTTACCCAGTGCTCCACGATCTGTATACCTCCCATCAACAGCCTTATCTGCTCCCCATGGCCAAGCGCCTGAGTAATTAGTTTTCTGCCAGGCAGGTTTTCCTAAAGCTAAATTTTCTATTGAAAGACAATGCACTTATAATTAAAAAAAAATTAATAGACCTGTTAATTCTGTGCGAAGATATATAATAAAAACTACCTAATGCAATTTGATTTCGCTGCTGTTCTATATATAAAAGTAAAGAAGTTTTCTGATAAGAGTGGTGATTTGATTTATTCAATTGTTAATTTCCTTTACATGTGTAGGAATATATCGTTATCACCTGTATATTGGCTTTATTTAGTTTATTTGATATGAAAGAGCAGACTCTTTATATGAACAATTTCTAAAACGAGATAAGCTATTGACAAAGACGTTGATGGAATAAAAATATAGACAGATTTGTTTAAAGTTCGCATTTCGAAATTGCAAAGGTCAATACAATTATCTTGCTGCAAATTCAAACTATCATTAAGTCAAATGCTGATTAACTTGTTGCATAGTAATTGTAAGGCCATTATTTATGTTCTTAATTGTCTGTGGATATTTTACGTTTTTCCGATCACGAAAAGAAGCAAACGACATATGTATTCAGTCGGCGGCTGATGAATACAGAGTATGATTCTTCATGACACTTGATCCTACCAATGATATTTAAGATGTCCTCGCTTACTCTGCTGCTGATTTGTATTGTCTGAATGGACTTTAAAGCTTGAATAATGCTCGTCTTCTCTACAAATACATTTGTTTTATTATGTAGATCAAAACACTGAGATTTTCTTTCAAATCGTTTACTGTGCAAAATAATACTACACTGACCTCTTACTTCCTGACTATAGACACTTAAATTTCTTTAATTGGGTCATTTAACCAGGTCTTCAGACAATCGATGGGAATTCCTATGGGTACAAATTTGCGCTCCGTTATTAGCAGACATATTTTTGCATTCATATAAAGCAGAAATTGTGCAAAATCTTATGGGTGAAAAGAAAAAAACACTTGCTGTGGCCTTCAACTCAATAATAAGATATTTTGACGACGTATTGTCAATTAACAATGGTAATTTCCATTCCTATGTCGAAACGATATATCCTGGTGAGCTTGATGTAAAAGATACCACAGAGTCTGTCACATTTGTTTCATACTTGGATATTTCACTTGAAAAATACGTTAATGGTAATCTAATAAACAAGATCTATGATAAACGTGATGACTTTAAATTTTCTATCGTCAACTTCCCTTACTTATGCAGCAATATACCTTCACCACCTGCATACGACGTTTATATATATCAGTTGATTCGATACGCAAGAGCATGCTCTACGTATGAACAATTTCTAAAACGAAGTAAATTTTTGACACAAATTGATGAAACAAGAATATCAGCTCTATAGTTTAAAATCATCATTTCGTAAGCTCTTTGGTCGATACAATGACGTTGTCTGCAAATACAACTAATCACTGAGTTAAATGCTGACTGACGTTTTTCATACTAATTGTTAGTCCATTATTTATAAACTGAACTGATGGCGGATTTTTCCCGTTATTTTCCGATCGTAACAAGGAGCACACGGCGGGTGTGACTGGTCAGCCGGGGATGCTCACTTCTCCATGGCACCTGATCCCACCTCTGATGTTTTAGAAGCCCGTGTTTGCTCTGCTCCTATTTTGTATTGTTTTATGAACTTTGAGATTGAATACTGTTCGTTGTCTCCATATCCTTCATTTGAAAGAAAATGATTTTTAATTTTAGTAGGTATGCTGTTCATATGAATATATATTTATATCCATAATTATCTATATCTTTATTTATATGAATAACATGTCAGAAATTTAAAAAACGACCAGTAAGAACTAAATTATAGAGAGAATGAACATTAAATGTTATTTTCTTACGATATGCACAGGTACAAGTTGCATACAAGATGACGTAGATAATTCTGAGACTCATCCTCTTCATTCTGTCAGAATTAAAACTTTTAAACACAACCTTTTTTGATGACGTACTACAAATAAAAGGTATATATGTATATAACATTAGGTAGTTTAAACTTGAAACTAAAATCAAGCAAAATTCAGTGTATATATCAAATTTTCTTCACAGTTTACGTTAGTACACATGCAGCTCGCAGGTATATGAAGATAAAACGGTAAAATGTACATATACTTTCACATTTACAATATTTGGCGCCAGTTTAAATTTCAACAAGTCAGCTAAGATTTGACTAAGCTTATAATTGAATAAACTCTAACTTTGCATACATACATGTCATTATACAGTGTTATTTACCAGGCGGAAGCTGTTTTCAGTAAGTACGCAAAAAAGAATACACGTTTAAATATAAAGCGCTCGCAATATGTATATTAATTGTAAAGAGATACAATTTTGAAAATTTAATTATAAACTAACACAGATGACTAAAATTTTAATCTTACCTTAGTGTTAGTTATAAACTTAACCCAAATATTTTGAGAGTGATATCTAATATTTCACCTGCCTTTTTTGAAAGATGCACAAAAAGGTAAAGCCCCGTGAAGTATGTATTCTAACGAAATTGTATCTCACTAAAATTTAAATTTTCAACTAAGTACTATTGTATTTCGCTTCCATTATCCTATAAATTGCTATAAAAATTCAAATGTAGGATGACATGACAATTAAATGTGAGATTCAAGTGACACACAATGAGACAAAATCAATATTAAAGATGACGTGTAGTAAGGAACTTTTTCTCTCTTTATATATTTATTTTTATTATTTTCACACAGGAGATAGAATATCAAATTAAGTCAGGTATTGATGCAAGGGTTATATAGGGAAATTGTTAGCAATGTGATTCAAAATAATCTTCAAATCATTCAAGGAGGATGTTTTTAAAGAAGTAGATCATATTAACCCTAGTATTATTCCATAAAGCAAGGGTAAAACAAAAAAGATCATCAGCAGTATACTGGCAGATATTCAAACATTATAATATATATCAATTGGAGTCTTTGAAAACTTCATTGTTATCTTTTAAATACTTGATCGCAAATACTTGTCCGTTTGTCTGTCTGTTAACCGTATCCGACCTAACATTTTGAAAATAGAGAAGGACTGGCATACTTTTTTCCAAAGATTTCTTAGGTGAAAGAAATTGTCATGGTGTTATTCAGTGTCATTTATCTAAGCATTTGGGGGTGAAAGAAAAGGTATAATATTCACTATTAAAACTGGAGAAGAATACTTTTCGTATACCATACTTTACCTGATTATTATAAGACATCTTCAAACATGAATAAATTTTTTGTTAAAATCTGCTTGCATTGAATTGAGCTAGGATACATGAGATAAGCATATGGCTGTCATATAAATTGTATTTAAATTTGTGCCTGCATTGACTGCGATCTTAGATACATGAGGTCAAAGTTTGACTGTTCATGTAAATTCTATCTTAAAATCTGCAAAGATAGACAGTGAGTTCAAGTACAAGAGATCGGTATATGGCTACCTATGAAAATTGTGTGTCAAAATCTGCCTGCAAATACTGTGAGCTACGATATATGTGGTCAGCATATTGCTACTCATGTAAATCGCATGTTTTAATCTCCCTGGAGAGAGAGAGATAGAGAGAAAGACAGAGAATTAAATTACACGTAGCCAGTATATGATTGCTTCTATATCTGTATTCCTGTCATTTGTTAAACCTCAACATAAAGTCTTTGTTTATAAATTGTCTCTATAAGGTCGGCATATAAATGCTCATATAAACTGTATTTAGACTATACATATATATGTTAAGTCATTGAAGTTCACATGTTATTTCATGTTTATGCACCAATCTGTCTGCATTACACTAATAAAACATTGATTTTATACATTATGACATTTTATGCAGTTAATTATACAATTGTTTAAAATGAATGTTTTGTAGTGTTTTCAAAGCCAATCAAATACTTTTCACAAATCCTCTTTTATGGCAACTTTTCATTCAAATAAAATGCCCTTTCCTTTGGTTTCACTGCATGTGTCATATAAGCATTTAGCATGCCTTGTGGTCTCTTTTTTGCACGGTATCTTATTGCTGCACAAAGGACACGGTAGGGTAATTCCCTTATCTGGCCCATTATGTGAAAAATTAGACCACTGGTAAAATAATAATAGTTTATAGTTAAGAACATAAAATGGTGCTTTATTTAAAGGAAACATATTGAAATAATGAATAGTATTCAAGATCAAAAGTCCATAAAACAACACAAAACAGCCACAGAGCAAACACGGACCTCCAAAACATCAGAGGTGGGGTCAGCTGCCATGGAGGAGTGAGCATCCCCTGCCGACCGGTCACACCCGCCGCGTGGTCCTTTTCATGATTGGGAAATAACGAAAAGATTCGTCGTCAATTCAGCGTATAAATAATTGATGAAAAGCGACAGTCAGCATTTGACTCATTGATAAATTGTATTTGCTGACAAGATCATTGTATCGACCATAGAACTTACAAACTGAACTTAAAACAAACACTAATTTGCATTCAAAGCTAACATGGAGGCTACACGAGGGTGCAAAAGTAGGACATCAGTGGAAGTTCATGATATTTGAGATACTTATCTCTTCGGAAAACATAGAGCACAAGCTTGCCAATCTGAGATTTTTACACATACATTGCATCTGATAATGGTGTATTAAATTATAAAGGAAGACTGCACTTAACGGTGTGTTTTGGCTCTTTTTCAGTAGCTTCTGTTGCTTTTAAATTTTGAGGTTTTTTTATATATTTACTACAGTGGTCTGTCAATTAGAGACCCAATGTAATTGTTAAAAATGATTTTAGACTGTAATACAATAACTAATTTTATGTTTTTTGTCCTTACGGTTTTCCAAATACAGACCATTAACACTTACCTGCCCTTGATTGAACATTATATATGTATGAGAGGCGGGGCTAAGATATCGTAAGAATGAATCTAAAATCAGATTGGATAAATGACAATTAAATGTTTTTTAAAAATACGAGATCACATTTTTCCATCTTCCTATTTATTCTGTAAGACACAGGTATATTATTTACAAAGATTTTAAATGTACAATCTCATCCATGTACGTAAAGAATATTTTAAGTCGATGGCTGAATACTGTAAACGAACTTCTATTCGCATGCGAGAAAATTTCGCATGGTTCGCGAGAGCCTTGTCATCGCGAATATTTCTCGCCGAGAACCGGTCCTTAAAGTCTATTAACAACAGATCCAAAAAGGCTAGAGCCAAAAATTAATCGTTGCAAATTAGTTTATCCCTGGTAAATCGTGAAATAAAGTCGTCGCGATTAAAAGTTGGTCTACAGTATTTAACGTGTTCGAACAAAGTGTCGTAGTTAGCTAAAACATGCTACCTATAAATCACGTGACGGAATATTTTATCACAAAATTACCCGAGAAAATAAAAATATTCAACGTGTCACGGCCTTTGGTTACAACAGAGAGAGCGAGTGTAAGAAAAGGCAGTTTTTTCTCTTTTAAACCATGAGCGCATGATTGCCTATTAATCTCCTTTTAACACAACATTACTAATGCAAATATACAACTGCTGTTAAAAGAAGAACAATAGACAAACATGCGCTGACTATGTATAAAGTCAGTAAAAAAAGTGGGCGTCCTCATTATTGTACGGAGATTGCAGAACTTGTGTTGACCCACACCTCAAAAAATCAGATTTGTACATCGTTGATACATACTTTTATTTATTTTAATTAAGTAAAGCTGTAGATAAGATGTTGATCATTCTTGTAATTGAAAGAAAAATGTCTGTTTTGAAAGTTTATTTTCACGCAAATTTCGCAGATCCTTAAGTGCAGTCATCCTTTGGTACGAGGGACGTTCAATAAATAGTCATCAGCTCGATAACATACAATGTAGAAGTCAGATGACATTAAGCTTGACTTTCTCTCATTATTGAATCTTTAATGAATTGAATGAACAGTTTATGTGACCATTTTTCATCGCATCATTTCATTTTGGGAAGCTGGAAACGAAGGGCTATTCGAGACACTGCATTAAAAATGAATGGTCAAGCATCAGTTAACTAGAGTAAAATTGAACGCGTCATTAAAGCTGCTGTAAAACTTGTTAATTTCCCAAAGATATAATAACTGAAATATGTGAAATTTACAGCAATTTATGTTTGTTTCACAAACACATGAACAAGTGGATTTCAATTGACAAAAATTATATAATGAGCATCAAAAATGGGTACCGTCCTTGTCAACAAGTACATACGACAATCAATGTATATTAGCGAAAATACAACAAATTATAAATTATTACGTTTTATTGACTTTAAGACACATAGCACATTTGATAGACATCATTTTGGGGGTAGTTCAAACTGTTTTAAAGAAACATTTGATAGTAAAAAAGGTTAATACTCAAAGGTCACCCTATATTTTTAAAAATGAGTGAAAACGACAGCATGTAGAAAATCTGAACAATTATGTTTAAAAAAATTAAAAATTGTACTTATCCACGTTTGTCTGAAATTCAAACAGATCATGAAACTTGAATCCATTTTGCTTTAAACCCTCAAAACAAATTTACAATAAGATGCACTTGACAAAACTGCAAAGGCCTAAGAAGAGCAAAGATTTGCAAGAACACAAAAACAGTTTTATACGCTTTTTTCTTAAATATTAACGGTCTTGTTGTTCAAATTCATATTTAAAAAGGCAGTTCAATTTCTGGAGGAGTCTAGTAAACAAAATATTTGCAAAAAATTGAAAGGTTAATGAGAGGAAGGAAAGAATGAGGAATTCACTACATTAGATTTCTACATGACAGCGTCCTAACCAACAGGCCATGAAGAGTAAATGAGTTTTGGGGTAAACAGAAAGTTAATGATTTGTCACATCAACAATATTCGCCAGATCTTTCAACCTTTGACTTGTTTCATTTCCCAAACTTAGGAAATCACCTTTCAGAAAGAAAGAACTAGTACAGCAAATCATAGGATATGCCATTTTCCAGTATACGAAGGGTCATACTCAAAAATGTGTTCTGAAAACAATTAGAAATTGAATAAAAATGTTACGGACTTGTATTTTAATTAAAAGTGAATTTTTTAGATAAATCATTAAGACAAAATCATAGAAAAGAGTTTTTTGTTTCTTTCCGAGCCCCGATGACATTACTTATTGCTCGTCCCTCGTATATAGCCAAGCTTGTTCTCTAATTAAGTTTTCCAAAACAAAATGTGCTGTGAATCGGTGAAAAGTTTCATAAATGTTAGAAAATTTGACCTATTTTCTGATCTTTCTTTGACCACTGTTTACTCGTATTCCAAAACGTAAAACTAAAACTCTTTTTTGTGATGGGGATGGAAACAGGTTTTTATTGATAAACTGTTGCATTATTATACTAGACACTGAAAATCACGAGCCAATAACGAGTCCTAAAATATCTTGTCCTTTGTAAGCATAATATACACAATATATATACAATAAAATGAATAAGCACTAGAATGCAATGTAACATATCTAAATTGAAATTTTTCATTATTGACCTTATCCAAGCTTAAAATGTACAATGGTAAGTAATAATACATTACACATTCTTTTGCTACACTACTTGTCAGTTATCCTGGCAAAAAAATGATATCTTCACTCAGCTTATTTTTATACCCCCGCTTGAAAAGCGGGAGGGTATACTGTAATCGGTATGTCCGTCAGTCCGTCCGTCTGTTATGCTTTATCTCTTATCCGCAACTCCTCTTATACGACTTAGTGAAATTTAATGAAACTTTTACAGAATCTTTATTACATATTGCCATTGTGCACCTCCTATTTTACTTTTTTATTCGACGCGTATTTTAGGTTTCCCATAGCAAAACATGGACATTGCCATTATATGTTTACTTATGACGTCACATATTGAAGCTTCTGGTTTGAAAGGACGAGTTATTCCTCTTTACACATTACCGTAAAACAATATATAGCAACACATGGACCTTATGGGAGGCGAGGGTATCATTTATTGAGCTCATTGCTTACAGTACCTCTAGTTACATATTGCCATTGTGCACCTCCTATTATACTTTTTGATCCGACACATATTTTGGGTTGTCCGGCAACAACAAAACATGGACCTTTCCATTATAATCATATGGAAGGAGTGGGGTATCATTTAGTGAGCTCATTGCTCACAGTACCTTTGTATGGATTATAAGAACTATTTTTTTTCTCATGATTTATATATTTGCCTGAAATATAAAGGTAGAAATAATACTCAAAATCTGATTAAATTCCTTATTTGTAAAGCATTAAAGGAGAAAAACAACAATTACTCAAATAGTTATGAACTGCTTTTCTACATCTTTTGTAAAAAGTTGATTCTTTCTATATTATTGTCACTTGGAATATGTTTCTAATTTTTGATTTTTGTAAAAATTTAATTTTACATGTTCTTTTAAGAGAATTTAAAGTATAACATATTTACACGTACATTTTCTATTCCTCGGCTATGTACATGTATGTTCCATATTTACATAAGCAGAGTCACTGCCAGGTCACAATATATTCGACTGAGTTTAAGTAACAAACAAAGTTTCCTTGTAAACCGCATAACACAATTTAATAGAAGATCGAATCGTAATTTTATATCATGGACATTTCAATATAACTCCAAGGGGCGGGTAAGCCATACTAAGGTTAATATGGGAAAACAAATCCGTTGCATTCTTCCATATAATATAAAACGAGAGATGTCGTGCCTAAAACAAAATTTCAAAGTTGACAAAGTAAATTTTCAAGGAAAATGGAATATTTGATTCTTAATGATAAAAGAATATGAGTATTCAAACACGCATCAAATATGTTATTATATTAAAATTCCTCGAAAAAAATGCCTACTATGATAATGAGTAGGTGTGTAATAACATAACAACATATATTTTTTTTTTATAATATATAAAAAAAGAGAAATATTAACTTCAAGTACGTGCTTTATACACTGTACCATCTGCTCACATTTTATATAAATACAATAAGGTGGAATTCAATGTGATTATCAAATATCTCTGGCTCGTTATATCCTTAGATGGTGTACAGTTTGAAGAATAATGTGATAATTTTGATAATAAAAGTTTATTAAGGAGGGAATCATTCTCCCTCCAAACCGTGCTATAGTACATATTTGTTTGTAGTTGAGATGTTTGAAAAATTTTCAAACAAGTTTGACATAAAATAGAATTAGACACAGTATAATTTAGAAAAATATGACAATCTTGATTATCTAAAACACATATACATGTCCTGAGGTTTTACTTCAAAACTGACCCTAAACTTATCCCTTAACATAAGAATATAACGATATAAGCAATGTTAAATCAATATGACGCGTCCTGAGACGGTATTTGTAAAAAAAAAAATGAATAGACGTCATAAACATCACACATATGTTCCTCATGTATTTCACGTTTTGTTTTTTTTTTAAATGGTCTAAGATTTGGAGTAAAACAAATGCCAATTAACTTTTTCCGTGATTAAAGAGGGGACATTAAAAATCAAGTTTGTAGTTATATCATGTTTTGGCTGTTTCTGTTTAAACTTCTTTACAGTGGTAAATAAACATGTGTTCGTGGATTTAATTAATACATGCATCGCAAGCGAAAGTATAAATATTATCTCCCTTTGTTAAGCATTTCTTCTGTTGTCTAAGTACATGTATACTATCTTCTGCTCGATATTCTGCAGACGACTGTGATTATCAAATGTACATATAAAATGACTGTATGAGCCAGAGTAGTGTTTTACCTTGTGCAAGTCCTCTCGATACGAAACAAGAATATGTATTGATATTAAACAATCAAAAAAGTCTATGTAAATAAATCTAGAGATGAACGTGAGTTCTACATTTAAATATTAACATCAGCAATCCGTACATCTACATCTACATTTTTCCGTCTGTTTTTTCATATTGGTGAAGTTCTTCATAAGTGTTTTGGTGATCGAGTTCACTAAGTTCTGCATACGGAGAAGTAGCCCTATCCGATTAGAAAATGATTTTTGCATAAAGACGTCAATCTTAAAGTAAGAAATTATTTAAGTAAAAAATAATTAAATAAGGGAGCAAAACAATACATACACATCTCGCCCACTTTGTTTATCTGCAAATAAAAAAAAAAAACAAAAAATACTACCTTTCCGAAAAAGTTTATACATTTATGCTCCCGGATTGAAAGATCGTGGGGGCATTGTTTTTGTCCCGTCTGTCTGTTTGTCAACTTTAACATAGGCCACAACTATTGCTCTGTTCAGGGTAAGTACCTATGAATATACCTCTTTAGTCTACATCCCACTCCAGAATTGTGTAGCAATCGGGGGCATAGTGTTTCACAAACAGATCTTGTTTTAAAACATGTAATACCTTTGACATTTTCATATGTTAACAACAGCTTTACATAAAGATTGTAGTTTTAAAATATTTTCCCCTACAGTTCGTGGCATTTGTAGACGGTTTATATACCGGTATATAATAATCTACCAGAATATGATTGCAATGGAAACTTTTAACATTAATTAAGCTTTTGATAAGTTGATTTTAAATACAACCGTATTATTGGTTGTATCTTTTTTACTCCATTCAATGTTGTAGTCATGGAATTGAAACACCATTGGAATAATCGCCAATAAAAATGTTCACAATATCGTGTCTTAATGATAAAAATGACCTTTACATGTACATATTTCATATTACCTCCTGTAGCCACAGCTGAAAATTCGTTGTAATACTCTTTGTCATTCTGGGTGTCCAAAACTGTCCCTTTTTCTGTAAAAGAAAAGTAACATTTCAAAAAAGATAAAAGGTAGCAATTCTTAACAGTTTTGGCAACCCAATAAGTCTATCAGTTTTTGACTTTTCAACACATGTATGTGAAAAATGATTACTTTTTGCTGAATAGTAAAATAATTTATTGGACAATTTTTTTATTCAAGTATAATTTTGTAATAAAGAAATCAAAAGAAAATGAAGGTGAGCTCAATGTGCGATTTATGAGAGAAATTACCAGTATATTAAAAATAAATCGAAACTCAGGTTTTGTAGTTATAGACTTATTTGTCAATGTTTGATCAAACTCTAATTGGTTATAGAAAATATTTTGTGGAAACATTTCAGTCTGGGTTTTATTTAAATGGGTTATTTGGAAAATTCTCTTCTGTCACATTTTTTGCATGTGTAAAAAATCACTAAAAGGTCCTTTTTTAAAATTTAGAACATTGAGTTTCCACTTGTACATTTGTCTAAATAAATGTTTTGTTTGCTTAACATCTTCCCAAGGTTTTTTTGATACTGAGACAGTATCACATGCAAACAAAAAACAGCTAATAAAGACTAGCGGTTTAAAGCGTCGAGTGATCTTGATTAGAGCCAACACATTCTCAACTCCAATTATTAATATTTCATAAGAATAATGTAAAATCATACAACTAACTTAGTTATAGTAAAAACTTCGATTTACATCAGTGAAAACTTTGATAATGTAATAATGTTATTAATACTTATACAATAAAATTCATTAACAGACACTTAAAGACACATAAATGACAAAATGGGCGAAATTAAAGAAAATAAAAACTTGCGCTGCATTTTCCTCCAGATGTAAAAGTTTATGGCACTTCCCATCAGAACAATTAGTATGGAGACAGTCACACTTGTAATGGTTACTGTGTAGTCCATCGTACATGTGTCGCAAGACTGTGACTGCAAAAATTGGACTGGCAATTTATATGTAGAAAATTTGCGACTTTATTATGTATTTATTGTTTATCATAACATAAAGCGTACGATAACATATTTAAAAAAAACTGTTTTAATGTTTCCACTTCCTTCGTTTGTTACCTCACCTGCAGGGACGATATGCAATGCCCTGTCTCGTGATGACAAGTCTGGTTGACACAGTCTGTACTACAATGCTCTTTACAATTGACCCCCCAGTACGATGGTCTACAGACTACAAAATAAACAAGGACCTTAACTCACCTGGCGCATTCATGATCAAAATCAATAATCAAAGTGATTTAGGCTCAGCTCGACAAAAACCACTTAATTTTTTTTTTTTTTTTTTGGGGGGGGGGGGGGGGGGTTTATCCTTATCAATAGATGCAATGAGATGATTCTCAAATATATAAGGAAATTTCTCAAAAAATTACCTATAAGAATGAAGATAACGAACAGTGACCGATATGTTTAGCAAGACTGAAGAAAACACAAAGGAAAACTTTGTTTTTCTTGGTTAAAGACTTATTCATGAAACTCTAATTTATTTTCTCATATCAAATGAACATAACATATGTGTAAAGGAGACATTGCAAAAAGTAATTGTACGATTCAATGTTCTTTGTGTTAGTTATGAAATATTCAATACCATTTATAATATATAATATACAATATATACAAGTATAATTAAAAATTATTGTAAGAACTTACTGTGTATTTCACTTCCGAAGTTTACTTTGCATTATAATTGTATTATCTTATTAGCTCTTCTGAGCCAAAGGCTCAAAGAGCTAATGCTATGGCCATTTGTGCGGTGTGCGATGTGCGGTGTGCGTAAACTTTTTAGAATATGGGCCATAACTCAAGAACCCCTTTGCCAATTAGTACCAAATTTGTCACAGGGTATCCTTGGCCCAAGGGCTACCATTTATACTAAAATAAGGGTTGGGACCCTTAAACAAGGGGAGATAATCAGGAAAACAAAACCAAAAGTACTGGTTGCTAAAAAATCTTCTTCTCCATAACCACCTGGCAGATTTTCACCAAACTTACATACAAGGCTCAGGATATGTCGAACATTAAAATTTGCACGGCGAATTACCCTGGGGCAACGGGCGTGGTCTCAAGGTCACTTCAAATTTGACCTAAATTTACAATTAATAAAAACGTGTATATGCTGCTTACTATATAGACTAGGATCATCAATTCTTTTAAGTTGATGCATCTTACGACTTTACATCATGTTAACTCAAAAGTAGGTCACGTTGACCTACATTTTAAATTTTGCGGGGATTTGTTTTCAAATTGATTTGAAGGCATATTTTGGACACTTTAAGGCTTATGATCATCAAACTTTGTTAGTTGATGCATCTTGGGTCCTCGAACAATGTCAACTTAAAAGTAAGTCACCGTGACCTACTTTTTGAACTTTATGACTTATCCTTTTAAAAATATTAAATCCCATTATTTCAGACACTGGGAGGTTTAGAATCATCAAATCTTGTACTTTGATGCATCTTGGGACCTTAAAACATATCTATGAAAAAGTAGGTCACTGTGACCTACTTTTTGAATTTTGCCGACATTTGTTTTCAAATTGTTTAAAACGCATATTTTGATTACCTTCAGACCTACGATCATCAAACTTGGTCAGTAGATGCATCTTGGGTCTTTGAAAAACGTCGATCAAAATGTAGGTCACGATGACCTACTTTCGACATTTTATGGCTATATTTAAGTATCTAAGGTATTTATTGGCTTAGAATCATCAAACTTTGTGAGTCCATGCATATTTGGTTTTCGGAGAGTGACGACCTAAAAGTAGGTCACGGTGACCTACTTTTGACATTTTATGGCTTTATTTCAGTACCCCCGGTACTTATTGGCTTAGAATCATCAAAACTTTGTGAGTGGATGCATCTTGGATTTTCGGAGAGTGACGACCAAAAAGTAGGTCATGGTGGCCTACTTTTGACATTTTGTGACTATAATTAAATATCTCTGGTACATATTGACCTAAAATCATCAAACTTTGTCAGTTGATGCATTTTGGGTTTTCGGAGAACGTCGACCAAAAAGTAGGTCACAGTGACCTACTTTTGACATTTTATGGCTATATTTAAGTATCTCAGGCACTTATTGGCTAAGAATTATCAAACTTTGTCAGTTGAGGCATCTTGGGTTTTCGGAGAATGTCGACCAAAAAATAGGTCACAGTGACCTACTTTTGAATATCTCAGGTACGAATAAGCTTAGAGTCATCAAACTTTGTCAGTTTAGGCACCTTGGGTTTTTGGAGAACGTCGACCAAAAAGTAGGTCACTGTGTTCTACTCTTGACATTTTATGGCTATATTTAATTATATTTAGTACTTATTGGCTCGGAATTATCAAACTTTGTCAGTTGAGGCATCTTAGGGTTTCATTGAATGTCCAACAAAAAGTAGGTCACGGTGACCTAATTTTGAATATCTCATGTACTTATTGGCTTAGAATCATCAAATTTTGTCAGTTTAGGCATTATGAATTTGAATAACGTCGACCAAAAAGTAGGTCACCATGACCTACTTTTGACATTTGATGGCTATATTTAATTATCTCTGGTACTATTTGGCTTAGAATCGTCAAACTTTGTCAGATGATGCATCTTGGGTTTTCAGAGAATGTTGACCAAAACGTAGGTCATGGTGACCTACTTTTGAACATCTCTCAGGTACTTATTTAATAAGAATCATCAGTCTTTGTCAATTAATGTATCTTGAGTCCTCAGAAAATTTCAATCAAAAGGTAGGTCACTGTGACCTAATTCTGGTATTTTATAATTATATTATATCTTCAGTCTTAACTGGCTAAATATTATCAAACTTTGTAAGTTGATGCATTTTGGGTCTTATGATTCTAATAGAGTTGGAGGCTTCTAATAGAAGTGATAGACTGTACAATTTATCAGAAGAGCGAATCAAGGCCCTTGGGCCTCTTGTAGTCTTCTGATTTTGATTAAAGATCATATTAAGTTATTTCATTTGATCAATTTTTATACTGTAAATATGTGGGTTACATAAATCAATTTTGCTTGATACCTAAAAGGAAATTCCTTCTAGAAGGGATTAGTAATGTTTGAGTGAATTTTTAATATTTTTTAAGTATATAACACCCTATACATAAGATTCAGTTGCAAACTGTAATTTGTTAAAAGTTTTAAAATTATGATCTTAAATTCTACAGGTTACTCTCGATCTCTCGAAGTTCAAGGGACCGCAAAAAAAGTTCGAAAGATCGAGGGGTTCGAGAGATAGAAAGTAAATAAAATCCGGAATTTTCAGTTCCGATCGTTCGATGTTCTAATATTACAGATACCGGAAGTGTATGTAAATAAAGTTATTGCACGTTTTCAATCGTTTTTTACAGGTAATTTACTTGATATCAACAACAACGATCGCTTTTCGAATAAATAAAACGAATTCCTAAAGCTGTAATATTTATTTGTTCTTATTTCACGATTACATAAAACCCGAATAGCTATTGTCGGTTTTGCTATTCCGCGGCTTGATCGGGTCCTTCATCAGTGTTCACTAGATTTTTTTAATCGGTACAGTCCTTGAGAAAGGAATTTCTTGTGCCGTATCTGCCATACTGGGATTATGTAGACTCTAATAAAAGTTCATAATCATAGAACTTAATGAAACGAACGTCTATAAATTATTTTTTTAAATTATCGTTTCGGTTTCAAGTCAAAATAAGTTGTGAATTCGTTAATAATAACCAATTAATCCTTATATCAACACACGGACGACCCATAGGTGTAGTGTCATCTATGTAAACACCCAATTAACACCTCCATGCCAGGCTTGCCAGCCCCAGGCTTTAACTGTTTTCCAGGTAAGTCCAGGCTGCATCAGTTTTACGCTTGATTGGCGTGTTTACACGCGCAATCAAAACTTCGAGAGATAAAAGTTCGAAAAATCAGGAGTAAATTTGCTTAGTTATATAGAGGAAAAAAACGGGACCGGAGGTTCACTTCGAGAGATCGGAGTTCGAGCCATCGAGAGTCACCTGTATATCATTATCAACTGTTACATGTTAAAGGCTACTTAAAAATTTGTTGGCAACTAGTTAGATTCCTTGACATCTTTTTTTTACTGTTTGTACAACCAAGGCATTTGAAATATTCTTACGAGTATGATTAAGTTTATAACCTTATTTCAGAGATATTGAGTGGAGAATACCATCCCCTACAGAGTCTAATGATAGCTTTTATTCTTTATCAGTCTCTCCATAGCGTGAATATTTTAGCATTGATAAAATATTTCTGAATATGAACAAGTTTATAACTCATATATTTTTTTTTTCAATCACATTGCATTTGGATAGTGATCATTGCATATTTTCTCCATGCATTTCAAAAGCAAATACTTAAACACCCAAAAGGATCTATTTTCAATATTTAAAAAATCACATCAATACTGCAGTTTTTTCATTTTATTGATCACATTTAAAAGATATGGATATATTAAGCTCACTTCATGATTGCATGGAGCTAGGTTAGACAAAATATAAGCATTGTAAAAACGTGTTGATCACTTTATTTTCGCGACACCTTATTTCCACGACTCAGTTATTCAATATTCATAAAATAATCAAAATATATGCGAGCTATGTAATCTGTTGTAAATAACACTTCATAATACAAATATTCGCGAAAATGTAAGTTTCGAGGCAGACAGAAGGATCTCGTAATTACGCGATAATAAAGTTCTTGCAACAAAAATGTAGTTTACACTTTAACAAGAAATTATTTTTTCTTTAAATATTTATACAAGTAAAAATTAATGGAGATACGGAACAGTATAATGATGTAATTAAACTGAAACATGTTACCATGTGTCTTTCACCGCTTTAAAAATTCTAATTACATATATACTACACTGTAGCTGTAAAATAACATATTTTCGTTGGGCCAAATTTTCGTGGTTGAAAGAAAAATTATTGGTTCATGATGATTTGATTTCCTGGATGAAGTACTTTTTAGTAGTTGTGCATATGAAAATTTACATTTCGTGGTGGACTTGAATTCGTGGGTCTCTTCTTACCTCGAAAACAACGAAAATTAACCCCCACGAAAATTATTTTCACAGTAGTTTATTAGAAAACAATATTAGATAGCATCCTTATCTATCCTGCAGTTTAACCACATGTTTAAAAAAAAATAGTTAATAATAGTTCATATAGTTAAAGT